CTTTATTTTTATCCAATTTGGTTAAGTGAGTGATAAGATATTAATCCATTTTTAAAAAAATGAGGAAAATAAAAAAAATATCTGGTAACTTTGGGATGCGATATCTCACGAACCACGAATCCAATCTGAATGAAAATATCACCATTTGATTCGCCAAGACTAGACAAATCAAATGATAGTATTTTCATCCAGATTGGATCCGTGGTTCGCAAGATATCACGTCCCAAAGTTACCGAATATTTTTTTATTTTTCCCATTTTTTCATTTTTAAGCAGATTTTTATCAGATTTTAATCTGGAAATTTGTTAACAAAACCTGTGATTTTCTGGAACTAAAAAACTGGATTTTTCCTGATTTTTGTCTTTATTTTTTTTTACAGGATTTATTTGAGGTGTTGTATCTTGATATTGAACTTCAAGATAAGTGTCAAGATGTGAGCTAATAGATTCTCCAATAAAGTTATAATAATCATTCATAAAGAGAATTTAATTATAAAAGGGAAATTTCTGGAATTAATATTCCACAGAGGTTTGGTTTGGGATAATAATCCACAGAGGGAGCACCAAAATGTTACAAGTTTGTTCACTAATTGTTAAATTAGCTTACAAACGAGAACCTGGATTGGAAGAGGGTATAAACTAATAAAGAAAATGTTAAGAGAGAAAAGATATATCTAAGACCTATGTTAATTTTTACGGAAATTGTATTTACTTGAAAAGAAATAATAATATGGAAGAGTTGTGGGAGAGTAAAGGTCAAAGGGAAGAGAGAATAAAGAAATAATAAAGGAGATTTGATGAAGAATTCTATACTAACATAAAGCTTTTTGAACTAAAGATAATATAATTAGTAATAACAATAACAAAGACTCTTTCACTTTGTTTTTCTCATGAGTGAAGAATATTCGTTAACAATTAAAAATTCAAATAACAAAAAGTAAAAATACTTATAAATCCAATTTCAATAATTTCCAATACAACGATTTGTTCAGCACAATATGATATAAAGCTCGATAATCCAATAATAGTGATTTGTTCGACACAATATGATATAAAATTCAAAGTCAATAACAGCGATTTGCTCAGCACAATACGATATAAAGCTGTCAGTAATTTGATAGGTTTAATATAATATAAGACCATTTATACACAAGATTTGAAGTGTATAAAAAAATATGAGAGGCGGAAAGTATTTGGAAGAAGTTTTTTGTTAAGAGAGATTTTTATTTTCAATTACAACATGTCAAGTTAAGGCTCAGATAGCATTTTTATTTATATATTTTTTGAAAATACAATTTCAAAATATAGTAACTAATTAAAATAAGTTAATTTGATAAAAGAATAAAATAAATGATGAAAAATAATTAAAAATGATGAAAAGTAATCAGAAAATGATGAAATGTAATCAAAAATATGAAAAGTAATCAAAAATAATGAAAAGTAATCAGAAAATGATGAAATATAATCAAAAAAATAATAAAAAGTAATCAGAAATGATGAAAAGAAATCGAAAATGATGAGAAGTAATTAAAATAATGAAAAGTAATTATTTTAGAAGGATTTTTGTTATATGAATATTTTTGAATAGTTTGTATTTTTCAATTATTTTCGAAATTAATGATTTTTATGTTACTACTATAACAATATCTATTATATTCATAAGCAATAAATTATGATTTGATGAATCTGCTTTGTCTATAGCATTCAATGAATAATCATTGGAAATTGAGATTATAAAGATTCCCAACACATTGCTCTTTCCATATCTTAATAGCACTCCTTCAAAGATATCAATATTATTGGTGTCAACTTTTACCATTGAATAATTTTTGTATTGGACTAAAAGTATATAATCATTATAATTTTTAAATAAATTCACATCACCATCTCCACCTGATATCCTATATGATAAATATGAAAGATTTTATAAGTAAATATTATTATTATCATCAAGATAAATATCTCAGAGTCAAATATTGAGTTATTTATTCATGCATCCTATTCACCACAACTTCTGCTCAAAGTTTTCAGATGGTAAGATAAAAAAGAAGGACGTTCACAAGCATGATTACTCGACTAATAATCCCTCACAGTGACTACGATATGCTTTCAGTTCTTTGTTATCATATCACACTAGTGGCAGCGTAACTTCAAATATATAACAACTAAACAATTACTTGTGAAATAAATAAATATCTCACTGCACTCTGTGACAATCAATCTTTATTTCTTTTAATGCTTTTAAAACTGAGATCTCAAACTCATTTTCTTTAGCGACAGATGAGGTAGTCATGGTTAGGATTATTAATAAATTAATAGTGATAGTAATCGATTGTTAATGATCGAATTTTTGAATATACACCCAGTGATAATATCTTGATGTCCAGTGATTTAATTCTTATAAAATACTAAATCAAATCACTGAAGTGTCAAGGTATTATACTTTAAATTTGCTGATTTGAGCAAAAATACTACTATTTGATTCATCTAGTTGAAATGAATTAAATGGTAGTATTTTTGTTCAAACTGAATCACAGGTTGTTAAGAATAAGATTTTTATATATTGAGATAAAATAACTAATTGTATTTAGTACACGAGCACACAATACTTGATATAGAAGTTTCAACAATCTATAAAAGATATGAATGATCAGTATTTGTATTGTTCTTTGTATTCAGAAATTCTACACATGGAAATGAGATACTTTTGCAAATCAAGATACTTGTAACCTACATATGTGAACAAATTATCTTTTCTTGCTGTATATGCATCTTCCATATTTGCCTTTATTTTCCAATACCATCTGATAATAACACATGTAAACAAATTATTTCTTCGAATTTGGCAAGAGGCTATGTTCAAGAATTAGTTATTAATTTTCCAACATCATATGATAATAACATATATGAACAAATTATCTTTTTGAATTTGGCAAGAGGCTATGTCCAATATCTTAAAAATTTAGTTATAAATATACTTGTATTTTTCCTTTATCATTTTATTCACTCAACAATACTATCATTAAAACTATTAATGCATTAAAACTATCAATGCATTAAAACTATCAACACATTAAAACTATCAATGCATTAAACTATTAATGCATTAAAACTATTAACATATTTAAATTATTAAACACATAAACATTTTAAAACTATCAACTGCATTAAAATGATTACGATCACATTCACATTCAATATAAATACCAATTTCATCGCATTATTGCTCGCATTTCCTGATCATAAACATTTACATGCATTCTTTAGTTTATAAATGTAATTAAGAATTTAATTCACGATACAATATCATTTAGTAATGGGAGTCACAATTATCGCCACAAGCTGCAACTAGTCGATATATCATATTCTTATTCAGTTTGATTAATGCTTTATTCATTTCCAGATTCATAAGGTCCCTTATTTTGTTCAAAGTTACTTTTATTCAATTACTCTACTGTTTATGGGTGGTAGATATTGTGATAAAATCCTTTGTGATATCTGTAAGATGAATAATGTATTGCTGAAATGAATGAGAATATTGCTCATTGCTTTTATATTTGAACTAAAATCGATATCTTTTGGTGGTGAACATAGAATATAATCTTTGAGCAATTTTTTATATTAATTACATATATTTATTTGTGTCATGAAATAAAATTATGACTTAATAATAATTGATAATATTTGTGTCATGAAATAAAATTATAACTTAATAATTGATAATATTTGTGTCAAGCATTCTATTTGCATCCTTTTACATGTACTGTATTGCAAATTCTTTAAAAGATATAACTATTTACAATAAATTCATTTTTGCGATTGAATCTGGGAACGATATGAATTGTCTTATCAATGCTTTCTATTGGTATACAGCTAAATTGTTCAGTTCGCTTCAATTTTGGACAACCCCATAGTTCCTCGTCTTCGTCAGATAAATCGTACCATTGAACAAAAGCGAAATTAAGTGGCTCGCTTTTAGCTTTAGTCTCTCTGTAAAGTTTGAATAATAATAATACCTAACGTTGGTAATATCGATATATATTAATAAGTTAAGTGTATGCGTTAGTAATTTATGCGTCCTTGAAATTCTAAATACTCTTACCTGGCCATACCAATTTACTTCATCTCCTCCTTCATCATTGGCGCTTATTATCACATTTGAAAACATAGACTTTCCGTGAAAGTTGCTAGTTGCACGTACAATATCTGTACTTTCTAAAGCAACAGAAGAGAATGCTTTTATTTGATGATCATCGTGGATTGACCCGTCAGATTCTTCCTCAAAAAACTCAGCAAGGCCACTTAGTAAATTACGATATCCTTCGATTTGAAAATGATGCAAATTACTTTTATGTGCTATAAGAAATTCATCTATCGCCATTAATTTTAATGTGTGTAAAAGTTCTTTATATCCTGTTGTTCGTCGATATCTCTTTGAAGCTTCTTTCTCAGTCAATTTTTGTCATCTTACCTGGAAGGATAATTAATGATTGTTAGTAAGTAATTACAAGCAATATCAATTAAAGATAATGATAATTATATACCATTTTCACAATTTGCTTCATAAAGTCTTTTTTGTTAGACATCCGATAAGGTTGTTTAACATAATTTTTATGTAGTGTCTCGTAAGTTTCTGTGGTCATACTATTTATAGTTCCATATTCTTGAATAGCTGGCACTATATGATAACACCATGCATGAAGCTTTGGCAACTGCAAGCCACTTGGAGAATAACGAGCGAAAAGATCAATGAATTCGCGAGCCCAATCGATAATGAGTGTCTATGTATTAAAGCATTAGAAATCGATATATACTAAGGTTAATCAATTATCGAATATCTTCAAAAATAAACTATCCTTTTCTTAGAGTAGTTTATTTTTGAAGGTGTATGGTACCTTAAGTTGACGGCATGATTCATATGTAAAAGATTCCTCACGGGTAGCCAGGTACATTTTAAGAAACTTGTAATATACACTGCATAACTGTTCGTTACTAATATTTGATTCTGTATCATAAAGGTTATCGAGCACAAAAATAATTACTTTCATTATATTTCGCAGATCATTAGCGGTCATACGCGTCATATCGAACACGTTCTTCATTATTTTAAGCCCTTGAAATCTAGGAATTTCTGTCAACCGTTGCTCAAGAGTTTGAACAGCCCAACTTCCACATTGTTCATTTAAAAGTTCTTTGGTATAATCCAACATATATTTAAACAAACTGAGATCTAGCATATGCATTCGATCAGGAATGGTTGCTTGGTAAATATTGAAGTCTCTAATAATTAATAAGTATTGTAAATAACAAATTTTATAATACAATAGTAAAATTTTAATTGATACCTTATTTCCCAAAATATATTATGTTCGGTGTGAATCGAATTCTCATGTGCCTGACCATTTTCGATTTCTTGTTTCATATTTTGTGGAGTTCTAAGCGATAAGTCTGTTAATTCCGTGTTATTCAAATTAATTTTTGAGATTAAGCAGGAACTACAAGGTTTCTTTGAAGTTGAGGGTTGATAGACGTTTGTAAATTTATTAACTTCAGCTAGGTCAGCCAAAATTACCGAGATCCGTGGAATAAAAGAGATCACATTGCGACGCACTACAAATTGAAGTTCTGGACAATTTAGTATTGGTTTGAGAAGAATTGTTAGGCTTCGTTGAAAAACAGTTCGTTGTAATTGTCTAAAACTTTCTGAGTTTTTGGTTTTAGAATCTTTAGCTTTTAGAATAGGAA